GGATTAAGAAGTACAATGGGCAGCTACAAAAAAGTACAGCTTAGGGAATATAATCAAACAATACCATAACCATTTACGGTGTCAGGTGGGTATAAGAGTTACTGGAGGATTACTTCATAAGTTATATAAATGTCTAATCACTATGTTGTATACCTGAAAATAATATAATATTGAATGGCAAGTGTAACTGAAAAAAAAAAATTTAAAGCATAAGCTCTGACCTTTAAAAAAAAGTTTCAAATCATGTTTAAAAAATAGAGAAAGCTAAAGTACATGACAGAAAAAACAAAATGATAAGGAATCAAAGGACAGAAAGTTAAAAGTAAGTAAATAAAAGCTAAAGAAATAGGCTATTGGTTAAACAAATCAAAAGTACATAAAGCCAGCTAAAAGGTCATCATCTTCAAAACGACGAAAACACAGGCAGAGTAGAGACTGGAGTCCAAGGGCCATGAGCGTACAATGTCCCCTGAGCTAGAGTTTCCAATTCAATTATTCTCTTGACACCAGGGGTCCCCTGAAGGAGGCCCATGACCCTGGGTGTACCTCCCCACATGGTCAAGCTGCATGGCACATCTGTGTGGTTAGATGTGTAGGCTGCACGGGTCTGATTAACTGGGACTGTCCCGGATTATCCCACTACACTGTGTCCAGCCAGGAATCATTACTCATCTGCTAAGTCATCGTCCACTCATTGTCCCATGAGTAGGGGCCTTCACCACCTAGTAAACATTGGGGACCCCATTATCTCCTTAATGCTCAGGGCTACTTGAGACCCACAGGTCTAAGTAAGTCTTTCTAATATTCCTTCTAGACTATTTGCTTTTCAAATCTTTATAGGTTAGGCAGGGTGAAGCCCTGAGCCTCAGAGGTGGGACACTGAGCTGCCAAGTGGAAGGGAAGGCTCTGCTGTTGAACACCCACGAGGATTTCAGAAAAGGGCTCTGGGTTTACATCCTGGCTCTGCGACTTACTAGCTACACGCCCTTGGGGAAATTATACTTCTGTGAGCTTCAGTTTCCAATTTGTAAGATATTATTAGTGTATTCTTACTATGTGAGTGTTGCACAGTAATTAGGTCAGGAATTCATTTGGCACAGATGATACAGTGTTTTTGTTTAAAAGTTAGAATAATCAGAGATTTTTTTATTTAATAAAGATTTAAGTGTACAATTCTATAACACATCATCTGAATATTGCATTGTGTGTTCACCACCCCAAGTCAACACTCCTTCCATTACCATTTACCCCCACCCCCCTTACCCTTTTCCATTACCATTTACCCCCCTTTACCTCCCTCTGCCCCCCTTTCCTTCTGGTAACCATCATATTTTTGAGTGTATTTTTCTTTTTTGCTTGATCCCTTCACCATTTTTAAGGGAATCAGTTGGAGGGTAGCATAGCTACAGAACACTTCAGAACTCACCTTTCTGGGCTAATCCATGAAGTGACTCCAAGGGACTTCTTGATGAGGACACTCATTAGCCAGGAAGGTATCAAAACTCTGCTTTTGGAGGAAGGGCAACTTATACCCATTTTCCTCAAGTAAGGGTCTTAACCACTGAGGCTCATGTACACTTAGACTCACTTATTTCCCCCTTGGAAAAAAGTGGTGAACTGACAGGAGGGACTTCTTGTCCTAACTAATGTAGTTGTGAGCCATACAAGAGACTGTACAATTGTGCTACCTTCTTCCCATGGAGATCTCTCAGCAGAAGAGGGCGGAGCTGTCTGCCTAGGTGCACACCTACCTGGAACTGAGACAAGGCTAAAGTAACTGCAGAAGGACCTTCGTGGGCCCATCCCCCTTTAACTTCAAGTCAGGGCAGACGTTCATCTGCCAATCTCAGGGAAGAGCCTGTTTTATTAAGCGTGGCAACCCAAAACATACCACATTTTAAGGAGAAATCAACACATATTTGCTGGCAAAGTGGGGGGCCAAGGAGGGATGAGAGTAAGTCTCTAAAAAAGAAAGGCACAGCACCCAGGTTCTTATTGTTGACTTTAATGCCATGTGAGGGTACTGAGGCTCCATGTACCAAAGCACTCACAAATAAGTAATGAAAGAACACAGGAAGTGCTTTACTGTGCACACAAACCCAACACCATACAGAAGGAAGACAATGAGCCCAGGTGACCTCCCACACTCCAGACTCATCACTGCACCCAGGCTTTGTTCCCACCTCCTCTAACCCCCTGCCACCCAACCCTTCCCCCAGTTAACATATGTATACATATAAGTTTATTCCAGAAAGTGCTTCTCCCACCCCAGTTCCCAATACTCCAGCTTCTGATGGATTAAAGCCTCCCTCTTAAGGATCATGAGGCAGGCACCACCTTCACAAAAGAGCCCCAGCAAAATGGTCCCCGAGAAAGCTTAATCACTTATATCAGACTCAAATACAGACAGGAGGTGTGCAGAAGGATGATGTTTGAAATTCTAACCTGGATCAAACTGCTGGGTGTGCGTAGTTTTTGTTCTGTTGTTATTGTGTATCTGGAGCCTCTTTCAGGTTCCAGCTTACACCAAGGTCACACACTGAGGCTCACCCCACTTTGTGGTTTGCAAAAGTCCATTTCCTACTCCTCCAATGAGCAACCCAGAACAGCAAGATTGTACCACCTGATTAGCCTGAGGCTCAGACAGTTCCCAGAATATCCTAAGCTCTGGGAAGAAAGAATAGAAGCTTTCAGAGCACAACTGACTGCTTTCCAAACGCTAAGCACAGGACAGCCTGGTGAACTAGCCAGAGGTAGAAAAAGGATGGTGACGATTCCTCTATTTCTTCTATTCAGAGCACTGCCCAAAGAATTCCTCCACTGGGATGACGTAATGTGGTTCACTGTGGTTTTGTTTCCATCTTTTTTGTTACCATTAAGTTTTTTATTGAATTTCATTATGGCCCCCATTATACCATACAGTCCTGTCTCCTAAAACTTCCACCTTCCCAACCAGTGAGCATGGCACCTGGGAGAGAAGGTGCCCAAAGTCAAAAGGGAAGCTCCAGAGGCAGCACTTTGACACATCCCTAACCGGGGCCTGTCCCATGGCAGGATGAATCTAGTCCATTGTCAGGGTGAGAGGCATTTACTGACATTATGCACAAGAATTCTATAAAAATATACTTTCCTTCGATCAGAGAGAAGCATTCAACCCTTCTTACACTCTGGGCCTGGCCATTTAGAGTTAAAAAGGGATCCAACTGGGAGAAGTCACTTTCTCAGAGACAACCTTTACTTGGAGGCCATCACCACAAACCACCAATTCCAAAAGCACTGTTCAGGCTGGCCTTGGCCTCTTATCAGAGAATGGCCAAACTGGGCCATTGATTCCGTTCACTCCATTTAAAAAGGGCTCTAAGCTGGATGCCAGTGTCCTGGCTCTTTCTGGTCTACTGGCCTAGAACCCGGTTTCCCCACAATGGCACAGAGCACACGACCTTGAGGACATCACAGAGGGAAAGAGAAATGGGTGTCTCTAATGAGAGGCACAGGGACGGCGTCCCTGTAGCCCCAAGCAAGTCTTCCAGGGCCCGTTTTTAGCAAACCTGCATTTGAGCAGACCAGCTGCTTTGGGTCTTACATGTACAGACTCTAAATGACCAAGCACTGTGATGCGCTGTGCCGGGGGTGGGAAAGAGAAGGGGTCAAGCCCGGGTTACTGAAAGCGATGGGCTTAATTATCTGCTCTCTACTCACAATGACTTCCTCCTAAATAGCTTGCCTCGGTGTCTGTCAAAAAATCAACGTGGTTGAACCACAACGTGTATTAGGCAGTAACACCAATCAGAGCAACTTAAACCAAAGGCAAGTGGCATGTTGTTGAGCCAAACTGCAAGCAGGAACATCGGCTCCAGAAACGTGAAGATCCATTGTGGATGAGAACAATAGAAAGAATACATATCTCGGAACCAACGAGACTCACCACTTCCCTCTTAGATCTCCATCTGTATCTCTGCTCCACTCATGCTCGGTGTCTGTCAAAAAATCAACGTGGTTGAACCACAACGTGTATTAGGCAGTAACACCAATCAGAGCAACTTAAACCAAAGGCAAGTGGCATGTTGTTGAGTTAAACTCCAAGCAGGGACATCAGCTCCAGAAACGTGACGATCCATCGTGGATGAGAACAATAGAAAGAATACATTATCTCGGAACCAACGAGACTGACCACTTTCCTCTTAGATCTCCATCTGTATCTCTGCTCCACTCATATAAGAATAGGATATAAGAGTGTAAAGCCATGCCCTGGATCTCTGTTCCCACACAAGGGCCAGGAGGTCATTGCCTCAGGAAGGAATTCAGCCAAGGGTCCAGGGCTTGGCCTTCTCTTCCTCAGAAGGAGGCAGATGTTTTCAGCTCCCTCTTGCCCTACATCACCAATCTGCTCTTTAAGACTTGAGATCAGTGAGGCTGTCCTCACCAGCTTTTCCCATATAACAAAATCTCCCTACGAGAACACCCCAAAACAGTCAAGTACAATCACGAGTACAGAGGGAAGCCCTTATTGCAGCACAGAAATGCTACACTCCAAATACTGGTGCTGCAAAGTCTTCCTTTAGGAGATGCATGTCCATACCCTGACTAGCTGCCCCCGGCTGCACACAGAGCAAGAAGGAAGCGCAGTGGGAGCAGAACCTCGTGGATCTTTTTTTCTCTCTGAAATGTGGGGAGTAAAACATAACGGAGGTTTGCTGTGTCTTCCTACAGCCCCTGGGATAGCAGTGCCTCTCACCCAGCCCTTCCGTTTCTTCTCTAGAACAGATACTCTCCTAGAAGGAGAATGTCAGTGGGATAAAGCAAGGTTTAAAAAAGAGAGGGTTCCACCTGAAACTAATACAAAATAATATTGAATGTAAACTGTAATTGGAAAAAAGAAAAATAGTCAAAGGGATGTAAAGTACAGCATAGGGCATACAGTCAATAATGTTGTAATCACTGATGTCAGATGGGTACTTTGTAAGGTAGGTAAATGTCTAACCACTATGCTGTACACCTGAAATTAATATAATAAAATATGTCAACTGTAATTAAAACATAAAAAATATTTTTTTAAAAGAGGGGGCTCCCATCCAAGGGTTCACCACAACCTGGATCCTGACAGATGAAATGGCAGCCCAAGAGGTATTCTGAGCCTCCAGAAAGGATGTGACATCTCAAAGATAACAGATGCAGACCCCTTGCCTGCTTGACTTAGAGAATCTTCAAAAGGCGCCTCTCAAATTTATAATCCAGCCCTGTGAGAAGATAACCCTGCGAGCAAGGAAGGTTGGTGGAAGATAGAAGCCAAGGCCCAAAGCAGGGCTGTAAACATTGTGCTTTTCTAAGGCCAACCCGGTGCATAGTTTTGGTAACTATGGTTACATCTCCAAAAAGTGGCGAAGAATACATTTTGGGGGGAAAGAGTCTTTTCACATCTTCAAACAAAGTAGGGGACTCTTCTTGGGGAAGGAGGGAGAGAAGGTGCTCCTTTTTCAGCCAGAGACTGTGGAGTGGCTGTCTGGATAAAATCCCCCAGCATGTTCCATGTTCACACCTATACACTGAGCACAAGGAAGGAACGCCGGCACAGGGCTGAGGAAGTGACTGTGCCTATATTATTTTGGTAATGTGGCTCTAAAAAGGGCAGAAACTCTCTTGCAAAGTCAAGAAAGTAACAAAACCTCTCTGGACTTCCTGGCCAAGCCCAAGCTAGCCAGACCCATTGGCCTCAGGTAAAGACTACCCTGCCTGGAGGAGAGGCCAGGTAAGTTCAGGTACCAAGGATCCTGTGGGCCACAAGCCCTGAGCCCGACCCCAAGGAATAGCAGGGGAGACTAGAGCTGCACCTCCGTCCACTTGGAGCTGTGCCTCCGGGCTCAGTCCTCACCTCAGCAGGTTCCGGGGCAGTCAGGAGCCCTTCCAGGGATCTGACTCCCAGAGCCACTAAGGGGAATGGACACCCTCCCTGAAGGGGCTCTATTCCCTACCAGGACTACTCACCACCACGTGATCTTGAACTCATAGATGGGGCGCTTGCAGTAGTAGTGGTTGATGAGGTGTTTGTCACACACCCCAATGCACTGGTGGTCCACGACAAGGCCCTGGGCTCTCAGGTCTGTGACCAGGCAGTGCAGCAGGTCATAAACATCAGCCACAGCCTCCCAGGGCCCAAAAGACACATCCACTTCACAGTGGTGCTCAAATAGCTGCCCATCACTCTCGCTCCGTTCAAAGCGCAGAGAGTTGAGAAGTGGACACTCATAGGGGGTGATGGGCATCTCCTCCTTGAAGACACAGACCTTGAGCTTGGCAAAGCGGGCCTTCCGCTGGACTGCGCGTAGCCGGGCAATCTCCACAATCCGCTCCAAATGGTCTATGGGGATGAATACAGCAACCATCACTGGGACGGGGCTTAACAGGTAGGGAGTGGGGCAAGGCAGTGGGAGGGCACAGAGAGCCCCAGTGATAGCAGGATCCAAGTAGGAAGAGACAGATTCCTGGGGAAGAGAGTCTTTGGGCCTATGCAGGACACAAAGTTAAAGAAGGATCATGGGCCGAAACCAGTTTGGCTCAGTGGATAGAGCGTCGGCCTGCGGACTGAAAGGTCCCGGGTTCGATTCCGGTCAAGGGCATGTGCCTGGGTTGCGGGCACATCCCCAGTGGGAGATGTGCGGGAGGCAGCTGATCAATGTTTCTCTCTCATCGATGTTTCTAGCTCTCTGTCTCTCTCCCTTCCTCTCTGTGAAAAATCAATAAAATATATTTTTAAAAAAATAAAAAAATAAAAAAAATAAAGAGGGATCATGGCTCTCCACTGCAAAAGGAAATCAAGGGGATGGGATGAGGACCATCCTTTTGAAATGTGGTTTGATGACAGTCACAGGCAAGGTGGGCGCCCCTAACCTGTATCTTCCCAGTGGGACCAAGAAAGAGAGTTGGATTCTCTCGTGTCTCAAGTAATACACGTGAACCTTGTTCTGGTGGCGAGCTAGGCACCGCCAGATGCCTTGCAACCCTCCTTCCCCATATACCCTGGCTGTCCCAGGACCTGACCCCTCACCTTTGTAATAGGGCATGAGTCCCAGAAATGCCTGGCGCACTTTCTCCCCCTTCAGTGGCTGCATGTTCTCCAGCTGCTCCAGGAGGGGCCCGATGGCATAGAACTGGGCCTCTTTGTACACAGCCCGCACACGTTCCCGGGGCGGCAGGTCCCCAGAGCGCAGGAAATTCAGCACATCTCTGAGCAGGAAGGAAAGAGGGTTGGTGAGGAGCTGATGAACTGGGCAGTGCCACATAGTGGTTAGGGCACAGAATCTGGAACCAGACCGCCAGCTGTGTAACCTTGGGTATGTGAACTTAACCTTTCTGTGCCTTGATTTTCTCATCCGTAAAATGGGGGAAAATAAGAAAACTACTCCATAATATTATAGGATTAAATGAGTTAGTATATAAAAAGTGCTTAGAAAATACCTGGCTCGGAGTAAGTCCTCAGTAAGTATTAATAGTTCTTACTAGCAGTATCATTATTATAATTACAATTATTATTATTAGGTATATATAGGAATAATGGAAAGGTTATTAGTCTCTTAACATACATGGTTGGGCAAAAGTAGGCTTACAGTTGTGAGTACACAAAACACAATTTATTTTCGTATTGTTATTCTTATATTATTTTCCATACGAACAACTGTAAACCTACTTTTGCCCATACAATCATTTACCCATTCTTCTGTTGATGGACATTGAGTAGTTTCCAATTGGGGCTCTTAGGAGCAAAGCTACGATGAACATTCCTGCATATAAGCTGTGCTGTGAACACGTGCACCAATTTCTCTTGGGTAGATGTTGGAAGTAGAATTGTTCAGTCATAGTGCATGTTTAACAAAGTGACTGTAGCATTTTACATTCCCACTAGCAATGTAGAAAAGTTCGTCTTCTACATATCCTTGCCATTAGTATTATTCTGTGGCTATATGGAGAAGGTCAAATGCTTAAACCTAACATCCTGGTTCCAGGATCTCAGAGAGAAGGGGGGAGGAGGAGGCGGAAAGAGATTAACCAAAGAACTTATATGCAAATATTCATAACCTATGGACACAAACAATAGTGTGGTAGGC